TTTAGCAACTGGGGAAAGCAGGCTGTAAGTGTCTGCAGGTAGCAGCTACTTCGCTACAAGGAACATTTGTCCAGAGGAAATGCAGATCAGTATTCTTAGATTTTTCAGTTTTCCAAAAGAAGTGAGTAGTGTGGACTTTCTTTAATGTATTGAATCAAAATTTACATTTTGGAAACCAATTCAATTTCAAAATTATGGAGCAAATAAATCACATCAACAGGCTAGTCTTTGTCAAGGTTGATAACTTGCATCTTCTGTTAGACCCTGTCGCCAGAGAAGTACACATACGCACCTAGAAACACATAGTTCAGTGGTGTCCATTAGAGCTCTGTACCGTGATGCTTGTGCGTCAGTATGATAGCCGTTGGCCATATGAGGCTACTGAGGACTTGAAATTGGCAAAAGTGACTGAGAAATTGAATTCCTAATTTTATTTAATTTTAATAAGTTTACACTTAAGTAGCCACATGTATTTAGTGGTTACCACATCAGGCACACAGATACAGAACCCACAGACCATGGGTTAAAACTCTTCTCAGGGTGGCAGGAGGGGTGAAATAAAGGGGATTAAAAGTGCACTTATCATGATGAGCACTGAGTAATGTACACAATTGTTAAATCACTATATTGTACACCTGAAAGTAACGTAACACTGTATGTTAACTATACTTCAATAAAAAACAAACAAACCAAAAAACCTAAATGCCTATCAAATGCTTGTTTTCCCAAACAAGCTTTCCTTTTGAGGCAGTTCTTTATTTAGTTAATATGGAGGTTCTCAACCTCAGCTACTGTGGGAGACCAAAGAATGGCCCCAAAGACAGTAGATCCTTATTCCTGGAACCTGTAAATGTTACCTTATTTGGAGAAAAGGTTTCTGCAGGAGTGAATAAAATAGGGATCCTGAGAAGGGGGCGGCACGGGGATTATCCTTGATTTTTTGGGTAGGCCTTAAAAGCAATTACATGTAGTCTTACCAGAGGGAGAAAAGGAAAAACTTGAGGATGCTGGCCTTAAAGACTGGAGTGAGGCAGCCATAAGCCACAGACTGCTGGCAGCCACCAGAAGCTGTAAGAGGAAAGGACTGGATTCTTCCCTAGAGCCTCCAGAGGGAGTGCGGCTCAGCTGACATCCTGACTTTGGCCAGTGCAATTGATTTCAGACTTTGGGCTTCCAGAACTGTTGTTTTAAGGCACCAATTTTGTGGTTGTTATAGCAGCCCTAAGAAACTAATATAGCTGCCCACTGGAATTGCCTGGGGAGCTTTACCTACCTACATTAGTTCATTTAATCTTCTTCCAATGAGATGACTATTGTGATCCCTATTTTATAATGAGACAAGGATTAGCAAATTTTAGGAACTTACCCACAGCTAGCTTGTGGCAGAGTTGAGGAGTGAACCCAGGTCTGTCTGCTCACTTCCGGAAACAGTGAACAAGGAAGAGGGAAATATCCAAGATGACTTCTAAGACTTCTGCCTGGAACATGGAGCCAACAGGAGTTTCACTATCAAAGAAGGAATCTGAGAAGAATGACAGTTGAGGGTGTAAGTATGGGAAGATAAACTCAGTCTAGGATGCTTCCTTAGTTGTTTTCCTAACCTGATACTTCATTCTTGTCTTCCACAAAGGGACACATGGCTCACTCAACCAAACTCTCACAGCTATCCAGTATGTACGCACACTTGGACTTCCTACACACACTCTCCACCACCCTCTTGGAAACCATAGTTCCAAATTGCCTTTTATTTCTAAACCTAACTCTCTAACTCAGTATCCTTGTAGAAACATGGCAGCTTGTCTCTAACATACCTCTTCATGCATCTTTAGGCAAGGAAAAAATGAGTGTGTGTACAGATGGATACAGATCCACACCTGTAAAAGTTTCTAACCAGATGGAGAGTAAATATGTTGGGGTAAAGAAATACAGTGATTGGGGTGCCTGGTTGGCTCAGTCCATGGAGCATGCAACCCTTGATCTTGGGGTTCTGAGTTTGAGCCCCATGTTGGGTGTAGAGATTACTTAAAAATAAAATCTTCAAAAAAAAAAAAGAAAGAAATACAGTGATGACGAAGAAAAGTAGAAGAGTGAATATAATATTATAGAGTGACTGCCCTCTTCACTGCACTGATAAGTGGTTTATGAAATTCATAGGGAGTTTAATATGCTTATATAAGGGAAGTATTCAGGTATATGGCATGTTTAATATTTATTTTTACATAATCTCATAAAATATCCAATTATGTAGAGGGTATTGATTATCATCTATTATTCAGCCTCAGATTCAATCTACTGAAAATTCTCCTCAAATGTCCACATAACCCACGGTCAAACCTGCTCATACCGTCTTTTAAAAAATTTACCTAAATGATACACTATCCAATCATCTGTCAGTCTGCCCACCAAGCAAGCATTGGTATCCTAATGTTTCCTGATCTGCCTCCATCCTCACTCCCTCTGTACTAGTTCAGATCTCCAACAGCTGCAGTCCAGATCTTCACAGTAGTTTCAGAGCTGGTCACCCTGCCTTGAGTTTTGTCTCCTCCCAAATCCAACTTTCATATTGCTATCACAGAGTTCTATCTGAACTGCAGATAGGCTTGTGCCACTTACTCAAGATCCTACTTCAAATTTTAGTGCATAGCCTTTTATCTGGCCGGCCACATCTTTTAAAGCTACTTCTTTCTTCATCCTCACCCTGAGCCTCTCACGGCTTGCCATCCTTCGATCTCAGCAAATATAAGATTTCTGCACTGGCTGCTCAGTTTGGACTACATGGCACTCAGCTTTCCCCCATCAATCCCAGTCTCACTCTCTCCACCTCTCCCCCCTGCCCCAGCACCTTCTTTCTTTGTGCTTTTATAGCATCCTGTAGATAGCTCCATCAGAACATCTGCCACGTTGTTTACAACCATCAGTTTATATACCCTTCTTCTTAATTAGTCTATCAGTTCCTAAAGAGCAAGAATCTCAGGGCGCCTGGGTGGCTCAGATGGTTAAGACTCTGCCTTCAGCTCAGGTCATGATCCCAGGGTCCTGGGATCAAGTCCCATATCGGACTACTTGCTCAGTGGAGAGCCTGCTTCTTCCTCTCCCTCTGCACCTCCCCTTGCTCATGCTCTGTATCTCTCTGTCTCATATGAATAAATTAAAAAATTTAAAAAAAAAGAGCAAGAATCTGTATATTACATTTGAATTCTCAGTGAGTACCATGCATCTGGTATATAGTAGATGTGCTCTCTACTAGGACCTTGTTCCAGCTAATTTTTCACTCTGCTCCCAAAATTAAAAAAATAAAAGCAAACAAAACCTGTGCTTTATCAAACATACTGTGAAACTTTCATATGTAGTCTTTTACGTGTTTTTTAAACTTCAGCGTTGGGAATGATCTGCATATCTAGTGGGATCCAAACCCATCAATTCACTCCTGACCTCTTGCCAAATCCTATGGCTTTTCACAGTTCCTTACTCTCTTTGCAGCTTTCAAAGAGACTATTTGAAAAGGAGGAAAATGGACAACTATTGTCCATTTTCCTCCTTAAACTACCTTCTATGACTTCACACCATTGTCAGGCATTGACTGCTCTTGTTTCAGATGCCTCATTGCCTTGACTAAATTAACCTACCTACCATCAGAGTAAACACATTCTCGTCTGCACTTTTGGGCTATCTTGCTATTTGTGTTAGCAGCTGCCTCAACAAAAAATCTTATCCTGTGAAAGTCCCCTACTGATGCAAGAATTTCTTCAAATTTAATGTCCTGGTAGGTTAAGATACAAGTTTCTCGGGGTGCCTGGGTGGCTCAGGTGTTAAGTGTCTGCCTTCCGCTCAGGTCATGATCCCAGGGTCCTGGGATCGAGCCCCGCATCAGGCTCCCTGCTCAGCGGGAAGCCTGCTTCTCCCTCTCCCACTCCCCCTGCTTGTGTTCCCTCTCTCGCTGTGTCTCTCTCTGTCAAATAAATAAATAAAATCTTTAAAAAACAATACAAGTTTCTCCCCTAACCCTCTAGGTCTGGGGGCACCTGGGTGGCTCAGTCGTTAAGCATCTGTCTTTGGCTCAGGTCATGATCCCAGGGTCCTGGGATCCAGCCGGTTATTGGGCTTCCTGCTCCGCAGGAAGCCTGCTTCTCCCTCTCCTACTCCCCCTACTTGTGTTCCCTCTCTCTCTGTCAAATAAATAAATAAAATCTTAAAAACAAACAAACAAACCTCTAGGTCTGGTATAGACAGACTAAAGCAGCCTCTTCTCCCTTTATTTCAGACTCCAGTATTGGCATACTTTTTGCGGGGGGAGGTCATGCCCAGGGTTTTTTTCCCTGTTATTGTTGTTTATTAATTAGCAAGTGGTTTTCAAGCATCCTCCGTTCCCTTCCTAATTCCCTACTTCCCTCCACAAGTACATTTTCCAAGAGTCCCTATGGAAAGTGGATGGAAGAGGAAGCCAATATGTGGGGTCGTGGCCTTGTAGCTCATTTAACTCCAAATTTACTTTTAAATTTACTTAAGATTATCTGAGGAAAAAATATATATATGCCAAAATACGTGTGCAGGTGGGTTTTCACCTTTTTAAGGGCCATTAGGTTCTCGTGTGAAAGCGTGGGGCAGGGGTTAGGGGGTCAAACCTGTTCCTTAAAACAGCACTATTTGGAGCAGAAACCCCAGTGGCGCGGATATTAGAGGCAAGTTGTACTTAAAGGTAGAAAGTGCAGTCTTCCCTCTCTGTGATCGTGGGCAAGTCACGAAACTTTGGGGCTTATTTCCTGTAAACTGGGAATAACCTTACCGGGTTATTGAGAGAGTAAATGGAATAACCTAAGTAGAAGCACTTGGAGAAATAACAACGCCGGTTTATGTGAACAAGGGACGCCGAGCAGCCGACTTCCCACCCGTCGGGGTTAACCCCTTCCCCTAAGTCAGGGGCCGCGTCACACTGAAAGCCAGCCGCGGCGGCGGCGGAGGCGGCGGCTCGTCTCCATGGCAACCGCTGCTCCATCCCGGGCCGGCCCCCAACCCGGCCACGGGGACCGGAAGCAGCTTCCAATCCGGCGCTTCCCCGGCGTCTTCCGGATAACGCGGGGTCGCTCTTCTCGGTCGGGAGGTGAGAATCGAGGCCTCTTCTGAGCCCCTAGGCCGCGGGGAGAGGCGTCCTCACCCGGGGGTGGGAGGAGGCGGCCGCGCACCCCGGCACCGCCGCCGACCAGCCCTCCCGGCTCCTCCCTCCGCGCACGCCCTCTTTATACCCGCCCCGACTCCTATCGCCCCCGGGCGCTTCCCGCGGCTCCTACCTGGTTGCCCCTCACCGCGCGGCCGCACGCCCCTCCCTTCGTTCTCCCGGCGCAGCCCCGCAGCGCCTGCCGCCGCGGCCAAACCAGCTCGGCTCCCAGCCGGCGCGCCCTCACCTGCGCTCGGCGCAGCGTCCCAGAGCCCGCGCGCTGCCCGCAGTCTCGCGGAGCCGGGACCCGCGCGGGAGGGGCGCTGGCGGGGCGGGGCGGGGCTGGGCAGGGGGGCGACGCGTCCGAGGGCCCTCGGGCGCCAGCCCTCCGCGAGCCGGCCCGCTGGAAGAGGGATTTTGGAGTGAGAATCGGTCCTCTGTGGAAGGACCCGGATTCGGGGCTCTCAGCAAAGCCTCCGCTCCAGGGAGCCGGTTCGTTACCGACCCGCGTGCGGTGTTGGGGGTTCGGTCTCCTCGTTTCCTGTGTAGCGCCGAGAGCTGTGGTGCAGGCGGCACGTGTCGGCGGCTGGTGCTGAAGAGGCAGAGTGCGCCCCGGCCGTCCCTCCCTCTCCGTGACTTCCAGAGGCTTAGTTTAGGGTCCCTCAATGTAACGCCCCCAAACGGTTTCCAAACTCATGGCCTCAATCCTTCCCGCCGCTCAGGTCTCGACCCTAGAGTCTGTCCCGGCCCAGTATCATCCGGTCTGCTGCTCCTTCTCTGCCCTGGGACCCCGGCCTCCGGCCTCTTGACCAAGCAGCACCGTGGGTAAGTGGATGGCCTGGATTCAGACCCCAGCCCTGCCCCTTTGCCCGTGGTCACGCTACCTGAGCTTGCCTTGTTAGGTTCCTCATCTACAACGCAGGCATGAAAATAACCATACAGGCCTTTTGAGAGGATTTAAATAAGTTTACATTTAAGGTGCTGAGAACAGTGCGTAGTAAATTATCTGTGTGTCATGTTATCACTTGCTACATTGCAATCACTTTTGTATCATTTATTTGGTAACATTGTTGTCTCTCTCTTAATATAAGCTTTAAGGAGCCACAGGCTTTGTTCAGGTCACTGCTTTATCTTTGGTGCCTAAAACAGCGCTTGATGAAGTTGGGGGGGAAATGGTAGATTGCCTAAAGAGGAAACACAGGGGCACATTTAAGATTTTTTAAATAGCCGTTACCTGTGATGCATATACTAAAATGGTGCTAAAAGTGTCTTTCTACGCTCTTTCTGCTAACAAACTAATGACACTTGGGGAAATTGCTGCCCTCATACATCACTCTATTGCTGTTGACATTGTGGATTGATAAACAGTCTTTTCTGTAATTCATTTGATAATCCATAGCAATCCATTTGCCACTCTCCTTTGAGCCCAATTAAGCCAAGTCCTTGGGATATCCTTGAACAACTTGGGGAAAAAGAATATATTCCTGAAAATGTGGCTCCCAGCATTATTTATGATAGTAAAAATTAGGAACAACCTAAATATTCTATGATAAAGGTAAATAATAAAGATGTTATGGATCGGAAGCGGAAGTGAATATAAATAAATGGAAGCACATTAAGATGGAGGAATATGCAATTACTTTTTCTTCTGAATGGTTCCTTTACTGTCAAAATAGTATTGTTTTAATACTACTTGATAGTATTAAACATAACGTTATATTTAATACTGTTTAATAGTAAACGTTGAAAAAATCCGCACGAAACTACTTCTCTCAGGAGACTATTTCTTAGCACTCTTTGCAGCAGGCTAGAAAAAAAATTAATTGGCTCTTTGAGCCTGCCCCGGAGTCATAATTTTTCTCAAGCTTCCCTTATTTCTGCTCTCCAGGAGTTCCTGCACAATCCTGGCTGATCCCTTATTGTGATACTTAGCCTTGTGTGCATGATTTGCAGAATAGTGTGCATGATTTGCAGAATAAATTGGGAATTACTCATCCATATGAATTAATGCATCTTAGCTCTTAGATTCTCTTGTATTCTTTGAAAGCATGGTTTATTTATTTTTTGTTTTGTTTTAAAGGTTTTAGGTATTCATTTGACAGAGATAGATACAGTGAGAGAGGGAACACAAGCAGGGGGAGGAGGAGAGGGAGAAGCAGGCTTCCTGCGGAGCGGGGAGCCCGATGTGGGGCTCGATCCCAGGACCCTGGGATCATGACCTGAGCCGAAGGCAGATGCTTAAGGACTGAGCCACCCAGGCGCCCCCCCCACTTGTTTCTTTAATCATATTTAAGGAGTGTCCTTAAGGAAAACTGCACCTTTTTGAAGATTAAAGCCTACTTCTCTGTTCCCAGTCCAAATGTCTGCAAAGCTGAGCAAGGCATCACTCCTTCCACAAACTGCAGAGGAGTCTGACAGCATTCTGATAGTGAAGATGGAAGAGGAAGAGCAGGCCTGTGATCTGGACTCCAGCCTCCCCTGGAGCACCTCCTGCAGCCCAGAGACCTTCCGCCAGGGTTTCAGGCGGTTTAGCTGCTCTGATTCCGCGGGGCCCCGGGAGGCCCTGAGCCGGCTCCGGGAGCTTTGCCATCAGTGGCTGAGGCCGGAGGTGAACTCCAAGGAGCAGATCCTGGAGCTGCTGGTGCTGGAGCAGTTTCTGAGCATCCTGCCTGAGGAGCTGCAGATTTGGGTTCAGCAACATAGTCCAAAAAGCGGCGAGGAAGCTGTGACCCTGTTGGAGGAGCTGGAGAAAGAACTTGATGAGCCAGCTGAGCAGGTAAAAAGGCATCTGGTGGGGGTGAGTGACCAGGTTGAGTTCGGAACTCTGGGGCATCACTGGGGTAGAGCTCTCAAACTGTACTCCTACTTAGCACACTAAACACGTAGGGTGGTGAATGTCCTCCCGCCTGTGCCGGAAAACAGTGTGGCTCTGCTTTCTTCCTCCCTTTCCTGAATCCCAGGATATTTTTCTGTGTAGTTTCTTCTCTATTATTTTTTTTATTTTATATTTTTTTAAGATTTTATTTATTTATTTGAAAGAGAGAGAGCCCAAGCAGGGGGAGTGACCGAGGGAGAGGGAGAAGCAGACTCTCCGCAGAGCAGGGAGCCCGACATGGGGCTCGTTCCCAGGACCCCGGGCTCATGACCTGAGCCGAAGGCAGACGCCTAAGCCAGAGCCACCCAGGCACCCCTTCTTATTATTTTATCCCAAAGTCCCAACCAGATTCCCTTCTTCAGCCTCAGTTATACCTAACTGCTTCCAGGTCTGTTTTGGACAAAATAAGGACATGCCTGCAGAGAAGCTGACAGCCGGGAAAATCACTCAGGAGCCCCCACGTAGCCAGATCAAGCCCGGAAAGCAGCCGCTGCCATGGGTGTCCCCGGAGTTTCGCTCAAGGCAAAAAGGTGAGGGGTGGGATTCAGTTCATCGTTGGGGCAAAGGTGGCCTCTCAGCCCACCACACATGTCTCGGCTGCTTTCGGCAAGCGGTCTCAAATTTCCCCTCCTGCATCCTCCTCACAGTGGGGACTTCCACCATTAGATGTTGTGCTAATGATAATTCTCAGTGTTTTGTTCTTGTTTCTTTCCCAGAGAGTCTTATGATATCTTTCAGATTTTTAAATCCTTGACATTATCTCCATGGGGATTTTCAAACCTTTTTTGAAGAAGCATGACCCTTGGGGCGGCTTGCGTGGCTCAGTCAGTTAAATGTCTGCCTTCGGCTCAGGTCCCGCTCCCTGTGTTCCGGGACCGAGCCCCGCATCGGGCTCCCTGCTCAGTGGGGAGTCTGCTTCTCCCACTTCCTCTCCCCCTCCTTCTGTATGTGCTCATGCTCTTTCTCTCTCAAATAAATAAAATATTTTTTTAATTTTTTAAAATTTATTTATTTGAGAGAGAGAGAGAAATAGCATGAGAGGGGAGAGGGTCAGAGGGAGAAGCAGGCTCCCCACTGAGCCTGGAGCCTGATGCGGGGCTCGATCCCAGGACTCTGGGATCATGACTGAGCCAAAGGCAGTTGCTTAACCGACTGAGCCACCCAGGCGCCCAATAAGTAAATAAAATCTTAAAAAAAAAAATAAGAAAGTGTGGCCCTTTTCTGAAATGAAATTCTGCCTGGAGTCCCAGTATATAAAACAGATGAAAGCACAGCCACCCTCAGTGATGCCGGAGCAAGCAGCGTCCATCCACAAGGGCTCCAACTTGGCTCCCCCCGCCGAGCGACCCCAGTCAGTTTAAAGACCACTAGTCTACCTCATCATTTTCTGTCCAGCTTCTTGCTCGGTTACTGGTGGCATCCAGTGTTAAAATCACCATATTGCTGCTAAGATGACTTTACCCGCACACCTTAAACTGATCTCTTTTGCTGCCTGCCATCACTTTTTACAAAAGTGCTCCAAAATGGCTGCACAGCAACCTGTTCTTCTCAAAAGATAAGTGCTGTGGGAGAAAAGCAAAGCAGAATAAGGGGAATAGGTTTTACTGAACAAAGTAGGGACAGAGTCTTATTTAATAAAGTGGTGGAGAAAGCCTGTTTGATGAGTGACATTTGAGCAGAGACCTTCCTTCTAGATGATCATGATGGATAAAATGGGAGTCAGAAGTGAAGAGGGAGGGGCGCCTGGGTGGCTCAGTCGTTAAGTGTCTGCCTTTGGCTCAGGTCGTTATCCCAGGGTCCTGGGATTGGCCCCTGCATCAGGCTCCCCGCTCCGTGGGAAGCCTGCTTCTCCCTCTCCCACTACCCCTGCTTGTGTTCCTGCTCTCGCTGTGTCTCTCTCTGTCAAATAAACAAATAAAATCTTAAAAAAAAAAAAAAAGAAATGAAGAGGGAAACCCCACTTGGGAGGATCTCCCCTTCTCCCCCCAGCATGGCTTCCATATTGCACAGGGCAAGGTTAGAGTTTTTCCAAGGTACTTTTTTTTGATTAATTTTATTTTATTATGTTATGTTGGTCACCATACATTACATCATTAGTTTTTGATGTAAGGTACTTTTGATAAGAAAATATAGGAAAAACAAAATACAAAAATTTAGAGACTTAGCAAGTATTTCTCTTAATCAACAAGTACCTGCTCCCAAGAGGCTTGCACCAGGCACTTAACAGCTCCAGTCTAGCAGTTGTCTTGGCTTAACTGAGAGAGAAATGAAAGTCTATTCCCACTCCATCAGGATTAGGAGGGAACCACCCCTACCTCAGCAGCTTTTTCTAGTAGTGACAACAAAAGTAATCAGCTTCAAAGCCAGGGCTTGGGACCCCAGGGTTGACAAGAACTATGTTCTACCTCTGAACATCCTCACAGAGGCCTTTCTTACATTTTTTGTTTTATTTTTTACATTTTATTTTTTTCACCATGATAACTGTACTCTTTAATCCCCATCCCCTATTTCTCCTAACCCTCCACTTCCCTACCTGGTAACTGATGGTCTGGTAACCATCAGTTCATCCTCTGTAGTTAAGAGTCTGTTTCTTCGTTTGTCTCTCTCTCTCTTTTTTTTTCCCTGTATTCATTTGTTTTGTTTCTTAAATTCCACATATGAGTGAAATCATATGGTATTTGTCTTTCTCGGACTGACTTATTTCACTTCCCATAATACTCTCTAGCTTCATCCATGTCCTTGCAAATGGCAAGATTTCATTCTTTTTTATGGCTGAGTAATATTTTCCTGTGTGTGTGTGTGTGTGTGTGTGTGTGTGTGTGTGTGTGTACACACATCACATCTTCCTTCTCCATTCATCTATAGATGGACGCTTGGGCTGCTTCCGTAGTTTGGCTACTGTAAATAATGCTGCTATAAAATAGGGGGTGCGTGTATCCCTTTGAATTAGTGTTTTTGTATTTGTTGGGTAGATATCCAGTAATGCAATTCCTGGATTATAGAGTAATTCTATTTTTAATTTTTTGAGGAACCCTCATACTGTTTTCCACAGTGGCTGCAGCAGTTTGCATTCCCACCAACAGTGCAAGAGAGTTTCTTTGTCTCCACATCTTCACTAACACTTTTTCTTGTGTTTTTGATTTTAGCCATTCTCACAGGTATGAGGTTGTATCTCACTGTAGTTTTGATTTGTATTTCCCTGATGATGGGTAATGTTAAGCATCTTTTCATGTGTGTTGGCCATCTATATGTCTTCTTTGGAGAAATGTCTATTCTTCTGCTCATTTTTAAATTGGATTATTTGTTTTTTGGGTGTTGAGTTGTGTAAGTTCTTAATATATTTTGGATACTAACTCTTTATCAGATATGTCATTTGCACATATCTTCTGCCATTCAGTAGGTTGCCTTTTAGTTTTGTGGATTGTTTCCTTTGCTGTGCAGAAACTTTTTATTTGATGTACTTCCAATAGTTTATTTTTGTTTTTGTTTCCCTTGCCTCAGGAGACATATCTAGAAAAATGTTGCTATGGCTGATGTCAGATTACTGCCTTTGTTCTCTTCAAGGATTTTTATGTTTTCAGGTCTCACATGTAGGTCTTTAATACATTTTTTAGTTTATTTTTGTGTATGATGTAAGAAACTGGTCCAGTATCATTCTTTTGCATGTAGCTGTCCAGTTTTCCCAACACTTTGTTGAAGAGGCTGTCATTTTCCCATTGTATATTCATTCCTCCTTCATTGAAGATTAATTGACCATAAAATTATAGGTTTATTTCTGGGTTTTCTGTCCTCTCTCATTGATATATGTGTTTATTTTTGTGCCAGTACTATAGTGTTTTAATTACTGTCACTTTGTAATATAACTTGAAATCTGGAATTGTGATACCTCAAGTTTTGTTTTTCTTTTTCAAGATTGCTTTGGCTATTTAAGGTCTTTCACGGTTCCATACAAATTTTAGGATTGTTCTAGTTCTGTGAAAAATGCTGTTGGTATTTTGATAGGGATTGCATTAAGTCTGTAAATTGCTTTGGGTAGTATAGACATTTTAACAATGTTTGTTCTTCCAACCCATGGGCATGGACTGTCTTTCCATTTCTTTGCACTGTCTTGAATTTCTTTCATCAGTGTTTTATAGTTTTCAGAGTACAGGTCTTCCACGTCTTTGGTTAAATTTATTCCTAGATCTTTTATTGTTTTTGACTCAGTTGTAAATGAGATTGTTTTCTTAATTTCACTTTCTGCTGCTTCATTATTAGTGTATAGGAATGCATCAGATTTCTGTACGTTGATTTGTATCCTGCGACTTACTGAATTCATGTATCAGTTCTAATAGTTTTTTGGTGGAGTCTTTAGAGTTTTCTAGATAAAGTATCAGTCATAGGCAAATAGTGAGCGTTTTACTTCTTCCTTACCAGTTTGGAGCCTTTTATTTCTTTATGTTGTCTGATTGCTCTGGCTAAGACTTCAGTACTTTGTTGAATAAAAGTGGCGAGAGTTGACATCCTTGGACTTTGATGGATGATAGGGACCAGACATTGAAGTCACTTTGGAATTTGAGCTATCAAAAATGAATTTGAAACAGAATCCTTACCATTTACAAAATGATTTGTTTACACCAGTAATAATGCCATTCAGCTAGTACTATAAAATACATGTAAGAGTAGAGGTTTTTTGTAAATGGGTACTCTGCTACCCTTGATTTATTTGAGATGTCAGTTATCCTAATCTATAATCCTCCCCCTTCCCCCCCTAATTTGTATTTCTGACCATATTTCCATATTCATTCTTGACCCCTTGGCTTTCTTCATTTCATTTATCATTATTAAACTTTTATTTATTGACCTTCATACTGAGTCTTGTTTATTACTACCCACTGCCACGTCTGGCTCCTCTCCATCGGTTGCTTCTCTGCTTCTCCCATAATTCCTCATCTTCTAGTCCCTTTTCTTCCAGATATTTTTTCAGTCTCTGATATATCCTTTTACCTCTACTCATCATTCTACCTTTTGCATGGAGCTTTTCGTCTTTATAGTTGACTGTCTCCTCAATATATAAATCTTTCCTTTTTGCCTTATGATCTTCTCAATGTTTTGTGACTTCCCATCTCCATCTTCCACATTGTGATGCTATCTTATAAACAGGCTAGCCAATAAATAATCCATATATATTTCCTTTGGATCATTCTATTTGCCTTTCTTTCTTTCTGAACAGAGAACTGGTGACATTGCTTTTCTGTGTATTATTTCAGCTAAAGACACGAAAACTATAAATGTGAATTCAGCTTTGACACAAAAGACTTCTCCAGGCATGGAGCTGCATTACACCGTTTCTAACACCCTTCCTGTGGATGCTTCCCAGAGTTGCACGTATAGAAGAGGCAGTGAACAAGATGGCAAGTTTGAAAGAAGACAGAGAAACCCTTTCGGCAAAAAACAACACAAGTGTGACGAATGTGGCAAAGTCTTCAGTCAGAGCTCAGCCCTTATCCTCCATCAGAGAATCCACAGTGGGGAGAAACCTTACGCATGTGATGTGTGCGCAAAGGCTTTCAGCCGGAGTGCTGTCCTGATTCAGCATCGAAGAACGCATACTGGGGAAAAACCCTACAAGTGTCATGAATGTGGCAAAGCCTTTAGTCAGAGCTCGAATCTTCTCAGACATAGGAAAAGACACACGAAAGAAAAAGTCCCATCAGTGTTGTAAGGGAATCAAAGCATTTGCTCAGAGCTTTTTCAGCAGGAAAAGACACAAAGCACAAACACTCCTTTAGTATTTCAGTGGGCACTAGGTTGCTTTGAAAAGTCATAAAAGCTACAGGAGAGAATGTAAAATATCTTCTGTCAACGTTGTTTGCGCTTCTGCTTATCAATACAGTGTCAATTCAGATGTTTGAGGTTTTTGTGAAAACTTAATTCGGATTTCCATCCCTAGGGCAGCTCTTGAACAGACATTCTCAAACGTGTTCTATTTCCATTACTAACACAAATAATGAACTAGTACATTTCTTTTTAGACAAATTTTCCCTGTTGAGAAGGAATGTGTGAGTTACTCAGGATAAAAATAAGTATTTTCCCCCATTCCATAACTTGAGCACTGGAGTTCCCAGACCAAAGACTAGAGCATTTAAAAAATTTTTACCATTTGTTTTTTGTTACCAGACTCAAAATATGAGAATAGGATTGAGGAGGCCCCAAAGAATGTGTACCTTCAGACCAAGGCTGAAATGTCCAGAGTCAATTGTTAGGGGGTAGATGAGTAAAGGCATTTATTCTCTTATGAAAATTCACAAAAGCCTACACCATTGATGTTACTAAGTAGGCTTTTTTTTTTTTTAAGACTTATTTATTTTGAGAGAGAGAGAGTATGTGAGTGGGGAAAGGGGCAGAGGGAGAGAGAATCTCAAGCTGACTCCCCTGCTGAGCGAGGAGCCCACAACCCTGAGATCATGACCTGAGCCAAAATCAAGAGTCAGATGCCTAACCAGATGAGCCACCCAGGTGCCCGCTAAGTAGTTTTCTATGTAGGAAAAAAATCTCCTTTACAATGTAATTTGGAAATAATTTAGTGAAAACAGCAAGATGGCTCTACATGTCTTAGGTAAGGGCATAAACATAAGCAATGTTATAATAAACAGGGCTATCTATTTGTGCTTATATAAAGTTCATGATCATGTTAAAATGAAAAAAGGAGGGGCGCCTGGGTGGCTCAGTCATTAAGCATCTGCCTTCGGCTCAGGGATCGAGCCCTGCATCGGGCTCCTTGCTCAGCAGGGAGTCTGGTTCTCCCTCTGCCACTCCCCCTGCTTGTGTCCCCTCTATCGCTTTGTGTCTCTCTGTCAAGTAAATAAAATCTTAAAAAAAAAAATGAAAAAAGGGAGGTGAAGAAAGACTGTCCAAACAAGACTGATAGAACACGAATATGAGCAAGTGTGATCTATAATGGAGAAGTGTGCCACAGCTCACGTGGAGAAGGAAACCCTTAACCAGCTGACAGCTCTCCTTCAGTGTTCTTCAAGGCCCCTTTTCTGGCATAAATCAGCTGTGAGCATATTTCAGGCATCTCAAGACAACCATTTTCAGGGTCTTATGCATTCTCAGTAAGGTTTGTTTCTAGACAAGCTGTCAAGACACCAGCCCCTGTGTTTTGCACCTCTTGTACAAAATTTCTAAAGTTTAGTTTGAAGAGTCCGCTGAGTTTTGCCCATATTTAAGTCAGTCAGATTTCCTGTTTAAAATGACTGACTTAGGGGCGCCTGGGTGGCTCAGTCGTTAAGCGTCTGCCTTCGGTTCAGGTCATGATCCCAGGGTTCTGGGATCAAGCCCTGCATCGGGCTCCCTGCTGTGCCGGAAGCCTGCTTCTTCCTCTTCCATTCCCCCTGCTTGTGTTCCCTCTCTTGCTGTGTGTCTCTCTGTCAAACAAATAAATAAAATCTTTAAAAAAAATAAAATGACTGACTTATATGTTATTACAATTATTCTGACGGTATACAACATCATGTTCCCTTTTCTAGGGATTCTTGATAAAACTGTGTTACAAGAATACATGCATTAAAATGTGTTCTGTGGTGCCACAGTTACCAATATGAAAGCAAACATTAGAAATGAAAGTCCTTAGGAGAAGGGAAGAGGGGGCTTATAGTGAACTTTGGGATCCTTGTGAAGTATAAACATTGTATTATCAGAAAATCTAACCACATCTAGTGCTTAGAGTGGGATTACTGTGCTCTACTTAGAATATTGATAATGTAAGAATGGTAAGGGGAGAAGTGAATGTAAATTGTAATTATAGAGTTTTCTGATAGTGATTATACTTCGTAGCTCTACTGAATATTAATATACAGAGGGTTTTGTATATTTTCAGTTATTAAAAGTATAGGTGTCTTTGGGCTCATTCTCTTTGTAATTAAAGGAACAAGCCATCTATGAAAGCAGCAAATGCCTCAGATATGTGTATTGTGAATTATTGCTTAATTATGGAAAGACAGAGTTTCTTGTTACTATGAATAAAATGACGGAATCTCAAATCAGGCGTTCTGAGGGAAGTTGTCTTCACTTGATGCTGCCATAAACCTTAAGAGATTGTATTCTTTGCATTGTGAATAATCTGAATTTCTCCCGCAGAAGGTGGTGTGAGTCATATCATCTAAGTACATGACAAAATCTTTGAAGGGTATTGCTGTGTCCTGGGAGTTAATCATGAACTTACATAGGTCTCCTAATGCTAGTTCATTCAAATGGAGATTTACCATGACTTGGGCTAAACTTGATTTTAAAAATTAGTAGGATGTTAGGACCCCCATTAGATTAATTTCCATAGATAGTAAATACTCCCAAGTGAAATTGATATTTTTATGAATTTCACTTCATCTTGACCTTTAGTATTAGCTGTAATCCTATGTTCCCTCTTTACCTCTGTCTCATTCTCTTCAGAGACCAGATCACATGTTGGTCACTGCCCTTAAACCTTCCTGTATTGGGAATGCTTCTGGATGCAAAATCCACCTGTGATAGTTTAAACAAATAAGGCTTTGTAACCAGAAATCGAGGTGAGTTGCTGCTGACTGTCAGCAGGTGGACAATGACTGATCTGGATGTGGTCTCTGCCCTTCTTTTGGCCTTTCCCTCATGTTTATTTTCTCAGACAGGCAAGAGAGCTCCCCAGCTCCAGGAATGACATCCAGGGCCAAGTCAGGAAGAAAGAGGAATTGGAGCTCCAGCCATGGCCAGCTCCTTTGCTAGGAAAAGTAAAAGCTTTCCACGAAACTCCAACAAAATTCTGCTTATGTTTCCTTGTTGCAAATGTGTTTGGTAAAGCATGAATTTTCAACCTCTAGAGGGAAAGCGGCAGGGCAGGTGGGTTTTGGCAATGACATTGGGTCAACCAACAGTGTTTGCCACACTCCTTGGCCACCTTCCTTTTCATGGGCAGATGGCTGATTTTGCCTCCTGAATTACGGGAAAGAAACAAGAGATAACTTACAACCTCCTGTCATCAAATCTGCCAACCTATCTACACCTCACCCATCATTTCTCCTCTGAATGGAAGAGGTGTCTCTCTGGTCCCTCACCATTCCTTCCCACCTCTGAAGGACCTTGGCTGCCATTATCCCTCTCCTATTCCTTCATCCTTTGCCCTCCTTGAGGATGCATCTCTCAACATTTAAATATGGTGATGTTACTGGCCCTCCGACTCTATAGTTTTCTAGTGTATCTTTAGAAAATTTGAGCTGATAGCTGATCCCCCAAGTGAGGGGGAACAAAATGGCCCTTAGCTTTGACTTCTTCATATGCCTCCATTTCTTTCAACCAGAATGATCTTTCAAAAACATACATGTGATCATGTCCCTTCCTTGCTCAAAATACAGGCTTCCCACTGCTTTTAATATAAAGTTAACGCTTACACAAAGTTTTGAGGCTTTTTGTGATCTGACCACAGCTTACCACTTCAGCTTTATCTCTTGCCATTGCATCATTCATACTCTATGCCAAAGCCATTCTGGATTATCAGAAGTTCTCCTGCCCCCAGGCCTTTGCATGGGTTCCTTTGGAACTCTTACCAGCTTCTGCACTTAACTCCTGTGTATTTTAGCTTAGATGCCTCTTCTTCCAGGAAGCCCTCTACCCTAACACACCAAGAGTAGGTTGGGGACCACTACCACACCCTTCTATTCATTACAGAGCAGTCAGTTCTTACTGGTACTACATTTATTACACAAATTATCAAGCTGTAAATATGGCTCCAAGGAAGAGGAGGATGAATGATACTTCGGGATATTTTGGGAAGTCATGAGATAGCAAAAGAAAAAAGTGAAAAAGACCTCCTGCCCCCTGGGCATAATGGTGAGGCAAAGAGAAGGTCAGACACAGGAGTCCCTTTACCTCTGCACCCAACCCCCACAGAAATGCCAGAGGGGATTGGGAGAGAACTTGAAAGGGGAAAGTGCTAGGCCCACTTTCTCTTGAGTGCATTGGGAGAGCAATTGCTCAACAGACTTCCTGTTTTCCAACACTGGACTATTTTAAAAATGGCAATGCAGTGCTAGGCAAAGGGCCTCTACCAGCTAACATATGACTTAGAAGATCTATAGCAGTTCTCCATGCTCGGTGGGGACCCTGGAAAAGAACTGATTGCACCAGCTGGAGAGTTGGGACCATTGCACAAAGTAACTTTGTGGATCTTATAGCTAACAGCTGCAGGACCCAGCAGGCCCAGGATCAGCTAGGAGTCTCAGTCACACCTTAGAGGGTGGCTAGAACCAATGTAGAGATGACAAATGAAGGAAAAGATACTGGCCTCCAGCCTAGCCAAAAAAACAAATCACTGATTGTCATAGGTGTGGTGAGCAAGCACCACGGCAGACCACCTGTGAAGACTAGAGACCAGAACAGAAGGACAGCAAGCACATCTGAGACCCAATCCATAGCACCACCTCACCTAGGCGAATGTAAGCCCCCTCCCCAGATATCCAGATGGCAGAAAAAGGGCAGAGCAAGAAATAGCCATGTTAGGGAGTTGAATTGAAAATGGACTGAATAATTACATTCTTTCACCACCCACCCAACGGGGTGGGAATTCAAGAAGCAAAAATATCAGTTATAAGAAATTAGCACCATTTTCCTTTGCATGTTTGAGAAGAATTGTGATAACTTTTTACCCCACCAAATGGGCACTTATATCTGCTTCTGTGTTGATGCCGCTATTTTATGTTTCTTGAAAGCATGACTGACCCATTTACTGGTGTTTCTGAAGCATCTGGCCCAGTACCTGACCCATAATAGGCACTTAAATACTTGTGGAATAAGGGGTGCCTGGGTGGCTCAGTCAGTTAAGCATCTGCCTTCAGTTCAGATCATGATGCCAGGGTCCTAGGATTGAGCCCCGCATCAGGATCCCTACTCACTGGGAGTCAGCTTCTCCCTCTTCATCTGCCTCTCTCCATGCTCATGCTCTCTCTCTTTCTCAAAAAAAAATACAAAAATAACAAATGTGGGTAAAGATGTGGAGAAATCGAAACCCTTGTGCATTGTTGATAGGAATGTAAAATGGTGTAGCCACTGTGGAAACCAGTTTGATGGCTCCTCAAAAAGCTGAACATAGAACTACCAAATGATCCAGCAACTCCACTTCTAGGTATATTATCCAAAAGAACTGAAATCAGGGACTCAGACAGATACTTGTGCACCCCTGTTCATAGCAGTATTATTCACAATAGCCAAAAGGTGGAAATAACCAAGTTTTCATCAATAGATCAACAGATAAGCAAAATGAGATATATACATACAATGGATGTCATTTGGTCTTAAAAAGCAATAAAATTTTGATAATACTACAACATGGATGAAAGTTGAAAACATAATATAAAATATAAATAAAATAAGTGAAACACAAAAAGAGAAATATTGTATGATTCCATTTATATAAAGTACCTAGAATGGCAAATTATAGAGACAAAATAGACTAGTGGTTACCAGGGCTGAGGGAAGAGAGGAATGAGGAGTTAATGAGTACAGAGTTTCTTTGTTACAGAAACAGTTCTGGAAATGTGTAGTGTGATGGTTGCACAACATTATGTATGTATTTAATAATACTGAATTATACATTTAAAAATGGTTAAAATGGTATGGGGCGCCCGGGTGGCTCAGTCGGTTAAGCATCAGACTCTAGATTTTGGCTTGGGTAGTGATCTCGGGGTCGTGAGATCAAGCCCTGCATTGGGCTCTGCACTCAGCATGGGGTCTGCTTGAGATGCTCCCCTCTCCTTCTGCCCTCCCCCCACTCATGCTCTCTAAATGAATAAATATTTTTGAAAATGGTTAAAATGGTAAATTTTATGTATATTTTGCCACAATTAAAAACAAAAGCACTGAAGGAAACAAGAAGGAAATTACTTTTATATAATCCCTGCCCTAATAAGGTTTATATTCTAGCAAAAGTAGAAGCAAAAACCCTATGGAATGAATGTTGTAGAAAGGCAGAGGGTCTGAAAGATAAAATCCAGACAAGTGTTTGGTGAAAGCACCGACTGAATGTAAGCCCAAATATGTTCTCTTTGCTACTAATATTGAGGGTGGGCAATGATGAGACTATACCAGCAGCCCTAGATTTGGAGGGACTATATGCATAACAGATCCAGACAGCTAGTAAATAATATTAAAATTAGTTTTAATTTCCATCTTGAATACAAAGTATTTCCTTGTGGGGCCCCTGGGTGGCTCAGTCGGCTAAGTGACCGACTACTGATCTCAGCTCAGGTCTTGATCTCAGGATTGTGAATTCAAGCCCTGTGTTGGTCTCCACACTGTTTGTGGAGTCTACTTTAAAAAAAAAAAAAAAAGGTATTTCCTTGTATAACACTATATGCTAAATCAATTATTGATTACTGAAATTTTACCTAAAGGATGTATCTTCTTATTTGGGTCTCTTAATCTTACTTGAATTTGAATTTAGCTCCGATTAACTAGCTTGTCTTCAGCTGAAGGATTATTTTTATTCAGAGGCTAGAATGACATTGGTTGGCAATATGTGGGAACTTTAGTGTCCAAGCTAATGATCAGCTGGGTAGACATCTGTTATCTTTTCCTATGTCTCTTGGCTGTCTCCAGTATACTGCAGGAGTTGTCAGGATGCTAGGTGGAATATCACCATTTGGACGGGTCAGTGGGGCTGCATCAGAACTGGATTACTCCATTAGACTTCGCTTTTATTCATTGACTATTAGCAGTCTTGTCACCTAAGTGGTTTTACAGTTTGACCTCTCAATATCCATTCAACTCCAAATGATTAATCTAAGCCAGTTATGGTAATCCTCTTCCACCTGCAAGTGATTTTGATTTAGGAATGGGCATATCGGGGCGCTTGGCTTAGTTGGTTCAGCGTCTGCCTTTGGCTTAGGTCATGATCCCAGGGTCCTGGGATCGAGCCCCGCATCGGAATCCCTGCTCAATGGGAGTCAGCTTCTCTCTCTTTATCTGCCTCTCTCCGTGCTCATGCTCTCTCTGTCTCTCAAATAAATAAATTCTTAAAAAAAAAAAAAAAGGAATGAGCGTATCATCTAATCTGGGTCAATGAGACATGAGGGGAAACCTGTTTTATGGTTTCCAGGAAAAGTCTGCTTCCTCTAAAAAAGAGACATAGAAGAGATGATACATTTCTATGTCCAGATGTTGCTGTGAATGGCTATGGTGTCAGGGAATGCTGCAACAGCTGACAGACGAAGCTGACCCATGGAGGAAGGAGCTAAGAAACCTACAGAGAAGCGGGACTCAAGTCCTGATGCCCCGTTCCTTGAAATACTTACATTAGAAAAGAAGAAAGGTTTAAAATCAGTGACCTAATTATCCACCTTAAGAATCTGGGGGAAGTCCACAATAGCCAAAGTATGGAAAGAGCCCAGATGTCTATCAACAGAAGAATGGATAAAGAAGATTTGGTATATATATATATATACAATGGAATATTGTTCAGCCATCAAAAAATGAAATCTTGGGGCGCCTGGGTGGCTCAGTCATTAAGCGTCTGCCTTCGGCTCAGGTCATGATCCCAGCGTCCTGAGATCGAGCCCCAGGTTGGGCTCCCTGCTCAGTGGGAAGCCTGCTTCTCCCTCTCCCACTCCCCCTGCTTGTGTTCCCTCTCTCTCACTGTCTCTCTCTCTCTGTCAAATAAATAAATAAAATTTAAAAAAAAAGAATCCGGGGGAAAAAAAAGAATCTGGGGGAAAAAGTTAAAGAGGAGTTTAAAACCAAAGTAAGTAGAAGGGACACAATGATAAAAATAAAACAGAAACTCTGGTTCCAGGAAGGTAGAGTAA